GACATGAATCATCAAAAGTAATAATTCAATTCATGAGTCATGCAATGAGTCGTGAAAAATCAAAACCATGTGCTTAAATCATGTTCCCAAGCCATTCCACCTTAATGACTCATCTCATAACTCATCAATCATGGTATTATATAATATTTCATAGAAATACAATATTCGATATTTTTCTAATCTTTGACTAAGAAGTCATCATATAACCATAAAAGTCAACTGGTTGACTAAAAGTCAACTTATAGAAAAATACTGGAATCCATTCTTAAGCACATAGTATTCTGATTTTATCGATACATATAACCATTTATGTGTATCCGATAAAATCATATATGCGTATCAATCATACGCGTTTACTCTATAAATTATATTTCATAGGATTCAAGTACGTGCTTGATGTGACTCTAGGGCCCAACTTAAGACTCGGCAGTGGATCATATCCACAAGTACAACAGAGGTGCTAGCTACACATGAAGACTACCAGAGTATAAGTTGTGATAAGTGTCTGCAATATACTAACACAATTTTATCAGGACCACTCAACGATAATACCGTACAGTCCGGTCTCTTCGTCAAACCATGTCAAACTATCAAGTATATGGTATGGAAAACTATCAAAACCTAATAGCTTGATTAGTGTTTGTTGATATTAAACTCATAACCAATAAGATCAAACTGACACTCAGTTTATCTTATTTACCTCAGCCAAGGATTTTCAGGCAATAATTATATCAAACAATCTTATGGCATCAACCCCCTATATTGGGAGAGACGAATCTCATCTTAGCATCTCAATAACTACTTATGTCTCGGGATGCACCCAATAAGAACCATTAAGTATAATTACCAACTAGACATTCTCGGTGAGTCGTTCAGTCAATTCACTAATGAGTCACCTGTATATTGTATCTTGATGTCTCACATCAATGATCTAAGAGATGGATCATCATTCTCCAAAGGAGAAATAGAGTACACACTAGTATTGCCAAAGTGATGATGTCTCTTCTCAACACTTCATCGACTAAGAACATTTTAGAATATACGTTAGCGACAAATCAGATTTCTTCATTACGATCATATTCGAAATGTCTGATAGTCTAGTATCATTCGAAGGACTTTATCTGTATTTAAAAATACCAGATAAATCTGATCAAAATAGCATACTATCATTTTGAACAATGATGTTATATTCATATAGATCCTGTTACAATATACAATTATCGCCTACAGGGCACCTATATCTAATAGATGGTTGTTCCAATGAGGAATTTGCAGATGAATGCATGAAAAAAATACAAAGCTTGAGATGATTTGATAAATTGTAGATGTTTGTCAAGTGAGTTATTGATCTATTTTTGGTGGTTTTCCCCCCTCACTCGTGTAGTTTAGATTCTTATTGTTGCATGCAAGCTTGAAGAGTACCGAATATTTATTGTTAGCAAAAGTAGTATAGTTCTCATTCTCTCGTTCCTTGTTCAGTTTTATCTGCTAGAAGACTATTTTCCTATAAACAACCTCAATCTCTTCTGTTATTCTGCAGATTTTTAAAAAAAATCGAATCGGTCGCTGCCTGGGTCATTGCCGCTCGCCGTCCTGTTTGGATTTTTTTTTTGGGTGAAGAGTTCCCTCTAATTCATCCTCAACAACACAAAAATTGTTCCTCCCCAAATTGGGGTGTAATGGAGAGGTGATAACAATATACTTAGTGGAGCAAATGAGGACAAGTACATCTCATAGACCTTTAAGTTGATTCTAATGTCACAATTTTTTTAGTTAGTTAATTCTAACGTCACAAATAAAACGACAAAATAGTTATAATTTCATCAGGTATTTGAATTGAAATATTATACTTCTGATCAAGACAAAGTTCTATGTCTGAAGCAACAGGATCCTTTTCCGTCCTACTGAAGGCTTGCAGATTTTGCAACCATTGACAAATAATTATCTTTTTTCTCCTTTTTTTTCCCTCTACTTCAATTTTCAGCATCTACAACTCGTTTGTTTGACTAAAGGGATGAATGAACGCAGGAAGTGAATGACAGTGCGCCAGTATGGCAGCATCTCAGGATATATATCGTCTCTCAGATAATGATGATGATGATAAAAAATGGTGAATTTGCTGCTGCATCCTCTTTACTCGAGCGCCGATGCGGTGAACAGAAGTTATGTTATGCACCGATGAGTGTTATGCTATGCTCTGACGAGTTTCATGTAATTTGTGTTGGGAATATAAGCTATTTAGAGTGTAATTAGCACAAAATGCAGTTTTAACAGAATTAGATAATGATTCAAAATAGATATAAAATTAAACTGGGTTTAGAATATAGCTTGATGGTCGAGGTGTGCAAGCACTGTCCCAAGAAACTAATTGCCCCCTCTCGTACAGGGCTACGCGGCAAAAGTTCCCGGAGATACAACGACCCTCGGTCAGGCGACCTCCTTCTCGTCGGCACGAGCTTCAAGAAGGTTTTGCGAATTCTTCAAGACTTTCAGGGAACCAGCAGAATACAGTAGCAAGTATAGAGTAGAGAAGAAGAGGTTTTGTGCTTTTTCATACTGTGTTTTCTACCCTCGCAGCTTGTTGTTTATATAGAGGTTAAGAATGAACGTTTCTAATTACCGAATTAAATCCTCATAAAAACTATTTTCCGTTTTGATTCTGATTTAAATCTCATGAATATTACCGTTTCAAAATTTAATTCTCTTAACCGTTACAAAATGTTTATCACATGTTAATTGTTCAAAAATAAATATTACATTTTAATTATTCAAAAATAAAAATGTAGCAGATTAAGGGCCCATTAATCCGGAGCGGCATTCGTGTCCCGCAGGTCGTGTGCGCGCACAACCCGACCCGAGCCCGGCCCGGCCGGCGCGCGCGTGTGTGGTGTGGAGCATAATCTTTTATTTTCTTCTAGGCATAGGAGAGAAAGGGAAGGCTTATAAAGACCCTTTTTTTCTATCCCATTTCCTATGTGGGACTAAACTTTTCCTCTTTTCCTCTACCAGCCCAAGTTTTAAGTTATCTTTATTATATAACTCCAACAATTTGAATGTGGGCTTCAGTTGTCATTTTCTTGTATATCAATGGACTTGGATCTCTTTTTTTTACCTGCCAAATCTACAGTCACATCAGCGGCTTTACTTGTACTAGCTTAATGGGCAGGTTGATCCTAAATAGTGTTGATACACCTTATTGTTTCACTTTTGTACCCATTAAATGCTCCAAGTTACAAAATGTAGCGAAAAGATGCCTTGAGTTGGTAAAATTGTGCAAATTACTACATTCTGTTAACTTAGAATATTTTCCCGAATATTCTCACGTGCGGACCACATGTGAGAGCATCTCCAACAGCTTCCCCATTTCTCACTTTTGGAGAATTTAGTTAGGTTTTTGGTCCAACAGATTACTTTTGGAGAATTTAGTTAGGTTTTTGGTCCAACAGATTCCCCATCTCATTCCCCAAAATAGGGATGTAGGAGAAAAAATGGGGAAGCTTCCCCAAATCTGCAGCATTCTCCAAATTTTTGGAGGAAAAAAGAGATTCTTCAAAATAGGGATGTTGTTGGAGTTTGTGTAAAAATGATTTAGAGAATATGACTTTTGCTTCCCCATTTTGGAGAAAATTTTGAAGAAACTGTTGGAGATGCTCTGAAAGTTCACTGTATTTTTATCCTGTGTTTTTATCCTCATTTATTGTTATATTTACCATGTTACCCATCTTATTCATGACAATACAGACAATGTCGGAGAATGCAAGAATAAATTTAGCATATATGCAGATTTGGAGTTCAAACTATATTAAGCCCCTATGGTTTCATCTGCGAATCTATTAAGCCCCCGTGGTTTTTTTCGACTCTATTAAGCCCACGTGGTTTTATCTGCGAATCTATTAAGCCCCGTGGTTTTTTCGACTCTATTAAGCCCCCGTGGTTTTATCTGCGAATCTATTAAGTCCTATTTGAAATTCAAAGCACGAGGCTTAATAGATTCGCAGATGAAACAACGGGGGCTTAATAGAGTCAAAAAAAGAAAAGAATGAGGGCTTAATAGATTCGCAGATGAAACCACATGGGCTTAATAGAGCCGAAGAAAACCACAGAGACTTAATAGATTCGCAGATGAAACCACGGGGGCTTAATAGAGTCGAAAAAAACCACGGGGGCTTAATAGATTCGCAGATGAAACTATAGTGGCTTAATAGAGTTTGAGTTCGCAGATTTGCAGGCCAAATATGTAAATAGGATAGATATTTATTCCTCTATAATAATGGGAGTATCCAATATTCACTATTCACACTACAGTGAATGCTACAATAAATTACCGTGACATTTTTACTATAGCACATGCGTGGATTGCATCTTTTAAAAACATTAACATAGCATATTACAGTAGCTCAAACATGATACTATAACATTTTTAAAAATATTACTATAGTATCTATAAAAAATTGTATTTAAATACATAATTAATGCAGTGAATATAAAAAAATGGAGGCCGTGTTTTGACTTGGATGTTTTTATTGGAAAAAAAGAAAATGAAAAAAGCAGCATGAATA